TGTTGATGTTGTTGTATAAATGAAATATACTAACAAAAATAAACTCTCCTGTGACTCAATTTTGTTTTATTAATTTGTTTAAACCGCATTACTCATGGTCATAATCAGACTATCCAGAGACCTGCTTACTTATCCATAAAATTCCTTTTAAGTATTTGTTCTCCGCAACAAATCTGAAGGGTCAAGCATAGTTGTTTCTAAGGGTTTGCTTCGTAAATGCTCTGATAAACATAAGCCTCTCATTTGGTCTCCAAAATATAACGAAAGAGGCTTCACCTTAATCATCAACCTCACGGTCACGGTAAACAAAGGCTAAGAGTGAAAATTAAGGCCAAATCCCTGGATTAGTGATCTTAGAGTAATTTTATTAAGACTTAGGACATTTCAGCAGTAAAGCCCAAACTATTGTTCCTAAATGTTCTTAAGTATTCTCTGGAGGGTTAATGTAGATACCCGAAACCAAAGCACCAACAAGAATAGAATACCTATACATTAGAATATCTTAAAAGTTCATATCCTTACATAATATTTAAAATCGCATAAACGCTTACCTACCACATAGGCGACATAGCGGAAAAACGTTGGCCTACCAAACACAAAAAAAAATTAAAAGAAAATCCAGAACTACAAAATCTCTGGTTATAAATTGGGTCACTTTGTCTACAAGGCAATCGAACGGATCTCTCGGATCTAGTTTCCTATTCATTTATGAGCCTTCCCAGTGACTAGTGAATACCCAGATCATTTCACTAATGGAGTACTCATGTTGTGAGTAGCATGACAATTGAAGCCTAATTCGAAACGTTTGACCTCCTCCTGTATACGCAATCATCACGTAAAACCTTAAGTGAATCAAAGGACCAAGTAAGGACCAATCACTAATAGTATAAATACCAAACACTAAATATAGGTAGATGATTTTATATGGGTTGTAAGATATGTAAAGCAAAAATAATGGTAAGTGTCGTTAATACCAAATGAAGCCGTAAGTCCTTTTTAAATTTAGCTCAGTATGACAGCCAAACCGCTATCCCTACGAACCGCCATTATAATGCTAAATATAGGGTAACCCTGTAAAAATCTCAAGCGGCTTTTCCTGACTTCCGAGGGTAAAACAAAAGGATTTGTGCAATCGGTAACCAATCAGGTTGATCCATCAAGGATGTCACGACCCTTTTTCTAAAGCAGATAAGTGATTAATGGCATTTTATTGTATTGGGTCTGACAGAGGTTTTGCAGGTCCGCAGTTCCATAAAGTTTGCATTTTGTTATACAAAAAATAGCTTGTTTATCATCAGCTCTTTTTCTGGAGACTAACATAAAATTCGAACATACTAGTAGATAAGGTTTGAAAGTGAGATAGATTTGAATTCAATAAAATGTTCAATACTAGTGTATGGATAATAGTGGATGAGAGTTTATAACTGCGTATACGTTTGTGTCACTTTGCTTTGTCTAATTAGGTCAAATAAGTTATTTGTTATTTATTATTCACCGCCCTACCTCTATACAGAGCTATGTAATGCCTTCTCTATCTAGACTTAAAAATAGAAAGCTAAATATGTTTCGACTTTAATCATATATAGACATTGTCACACTCAAGACCTGAAGCAAAGCCAACGCTACAGCCAGACAGTTTTATTACAAAGTTAGGATTTACTTATAAGTTACTAGCTAAGTACCTTATTTCTAGGTATTTCGTGAAGGATAGATAAACTTCCAATCCCAACAAAATTTTGTTACCAATGTGTGGAAACTTACGAATGATAAAATGCTCAGATATTTTGGTACAGTACAATATTGTTACATGATGTAGGTTCCATTTTTCTAACCCTCTTTTGTATAACTATGATACCTAAGTGGGAGCTACAAATAGTTTTATAGCCTCATGTACTCTACGTCTATAATCCATTTTAAATAAAATGTTTTAGTTTAGACTATACATATAGTAGTATATTCACATTACATTTCTGAATAGCAAGTAAAATGTTGTGAAGTTTTTTTTTTTTTTTAAACGTTGGCCCACACTAGGATTTTCTCCTGTGTCGTGGGTGCGTTTACAAACATACAAGTTCACATACACAATGACACCCAGACCCGAAACAACACTTTGTGTATCACACAAAGTGTTGTCCCGTGCGGGAATCGAACCCGCGACACGTTGCACGGCAGCCGGTTGCCCAGCCACCGCACCAACCGTGCAGTCAGTTTGCCTTATTGATCTTAGCCTTTAATCAAAATTATTTGTACTTAAGATCTAAGTAGGTACCTAAATTATAGCCACAAAGTCTATGCTAACTTAAATTAAACTTGGGGACTATTCACGAAAGCTCAAGTTACTTTGGTGTCTTATGTCATTTACAACAGTCGTTACGTGTCAGATGCTCAGAAGTCTAATTATGTCTATCGTAAATGTAATGATTTAAAATTATTAGAATTCTTTATTGGTTGATATCATAATCATACAGGTCGTGGTGGCCCAGAGGTTTAAGACGCCCTCGTCTCATGCATGAGGATGCGGGTTCGAAACCTACGAACGGCAAGTACCAATGTGACTTTTCTGAGTTATGTGTACTTTCGTAGATTAGGTACCTATACATCACTGACAAAAGGTGAAGAAAAATATCGTGAGGAAAGCTGGGCTTATAATTTCTAATTATAAGTTTGTAATCGCCAACCCGCATTGAGCAAGCGTGGTGATTAATGCTCGAACCTTCTCCGTGTGAGAAGAGGCTTTACTCAGCAGTGGGCATTTATAGGCTGTTGATGATGATGATGATGATGATGATGATGATGATGATGATGATGATGATGATGATGATGATGATGATATCATAAGCCTTTATTGTCTGAACCTAGTCACAAGGTAAATCATAGCGGTTTCTCCATATGGATCAACATTTGCAATGAGCACCTAACATCAACGTCGAACAGGCTGACGGACAATTCAATTTTGACATTTCAAAAGCGCCTATTTAAGGATTAATTGCAATGGATGCTTTGAGATGGCTTTGTACCTATACAATCAGTGGTTATAGAAGTTAAATAACAAGAGTTCCACTTAAACAAATTCAGTTAAAACAGAGTAGGATCCTCTAACATTACACTTATTAACTGATATACATATAGTTGTGAAAATAAAATGAATTTTTTGTTGTTTTGAAATGAAATGACATGAAATTTATCTTTCATTTGCTCCCTACTTAGACACAATTATTATAAAACATACTTTAGTAAAACATTTATACATAGCCTGCCTCGTTGGCCGAGTGGTCGCAAGTGCGACTGCTGGGCAAGGGGTCTCGGGTTCGATTCCCGGTCGGGCAAAGTAGGTACTACTAGGTTTTTTTAAAAATTCTCAGTAGTAGCACGGAGCCTGGAATTGTGCCCGGTATATGGCAATATGCTCACTCCCTATTACATGGTACTCATAACATAGATAGTGAAAAGTGGCATTAAGAGCCGTAATGTGTAGGTACCTCTGGCTATCCCTTCTCATATATAAATATAAATAAATGTTGGTATTATTTGACTACCCATAGTCAGGTCCATAGTCATTAAAAATACCCAACCATACAGTAAACTTAATCAGAGCGCACTCTCTGCCAAAATACACATGAAAATGTTCAATAACGCATTCGAACACACGAAACGTGACTTCAAGTAGTATTTAGCACTATTTACAGCTCTGCTCACCCCATTAACGTCATAAGTGTTAATTTATGTTTACTCCTGCGCTTTAACTTCGAAAACATACACAATATTAATAATTGTTACCAGATTTATAGCATCCTGCCTCGTTGGCCGAGTGGTCGCAAGTGCGACTGCCAAACAACGGGTCACGGATTCTCGGGTCGGGCAAAGTATTACTGGGTTTAGAAAAATGGAAATGTACCCGGTACAGGGCAATAGGCTTATTACATGGGACTCATAACATAAATAGTGAAAATTGGGTTAATAGTACAGTGGCATTAAGTGCCGTAATGGGCACCTCTGTCTACCCCTTCTCGGTTTATATCGAGTTATATTACACAAAATGTTTAATGATACGCCATGTTTGTGTGTTCCAAACATGAAATACTTTCACCGATATGTTAGTGCAATTTAAACTTTACCTACACGAATAAATCGATTTGAACTAATGAAAAGCTATTCGATATCAGTTACAGTACTACGTAAATTCATTACAGGAATCGAGAATATCGGTACGTAACTATGTAATCGTAAAAAACTAATCAACATAGGTATACGACATTTCCCAATTAACCTCGACGTTTCCCATATCTCTTAGGCATAAGACATGTACATGTACATTAGGTAACATGGTCCTTTACATGTTATGTATATACCTCTATATATATATAGAATTGTTATATAAATAGCATCTATATATACGTTAAACGTAATTTATTTATTTATTTATTTATTTATTTATTTAAAACCTTACCTAAAACTATCATTACAGTTTTCTCCATTGCGATAGCTTAGGTCTAAAACTAAATCTATGTAGGTTAGGTACCTAATTACTAATACATATGCATACACAAACTTAATTAATCTTAACATTTATCCATAAAAAAAAGAGATAATACTAAAGACTTTATGGTCACGAGATCAGCGGTGAACTACCAGTGGCGTGCAGTCCATATAGGCAAAAAGGCTTTGCTTGACATAAAATGTACAAACGCGTTTATTAAGATTCAATAATAAAATAAAAGTTTGTAAAAAAACGGCTAACATAAATATACATTCACATATACTATACACGGACCGCACGCCTTT